TTTTTTAATCTGATGGTATACATAATGTTCAAATCTACACCTATGGACTTCTGCAAAGAAGGGGGAGAGGTGGCTTCAAATATTTCTTCTTTGGGGCAAGCTATTCTTTATAATTTCACAACATTCAGTTTTGATTTTTTTATAATTCTTATTCTTTCCCTTTCCATTGTTGTAATCATTGTGTATATTGTTCCCTTGGCTCTGTTTATTTCACTTTGTATCAGTTCACGTAAATCTTTCCATGTCTTCTTGTATTCTTGCTTCTTACAGAACAATAATATTCCATTACATTCGTGTATCATATTATGTTTAGCCCAATCCAAGGGTATCTACATGTTTTTAATTTTGTTATCACAACAAGTGCTACTATAAATATTTTGATGTACATGGAGTCTTTCATTTAGTAAATTATACCCTTGGGGTTTACACCTGACAGTAGAAACTCTAGATCAGAGAGTATGGACATTTTTAGTTACTTTGTTTACAAATTCCATATTGCTTTCCAGAATGGTTATACCAGTTCACAATCAGCCAAAAATCTATTAGTGTTCCTGTCCTTCTACAACTCCTCCCATACTATTTTTATCTTTTGCCAATTTTCTGGTTGTGATTTGAGATCTCAAGTTTGTTTTGATTTGTATTTCTCTAATAATTAGTTATTTGAAACGTTCTTTCATATGGTTGTTAGTAGTGTTTCTTCTTTTGAGAATTATTTGTTCATGTCATTTAATCACATATCTGTTGGGGGATGTTTTTTGGTCTTTTAGATTTTTGTTGGTTGTCTATATCTTATGTATCAAACATAAAGTTTTTTTCCTCAGTTGACTGCTTCCATTCTTTTCCTTGATGTATTAATTTTGTTTGTGCAAAACGTTTCTATTTCATGTAATTAAAATTACCTTTTTTATCTTTCATTATTCCCTCTATTCCTTTTTTAGTTAAAAATTCACTTCCTGGGGTAGCTAGGTGGTACAGTGGATACAGCACTGGCCTTGAAGTCAGGAGGACCTGAGTTCAGATTCGGCCTCAGACCAAACACCTGACACTTACTAGTTGTGTGACCCCGGGCAAGTCACTTAACCCCAATTGCCTACAAAAAAAAAAAAATTCACTTCCTGGCTCTCTGGGAATGGGGAAGGGAAGTAATATATACACAAATTTATGTCATAAAAAAAGCTACCAATAAAAATCTATTGAATAAAAAACTTTTTTAGAGAATTCATTCCCTGTCAATAGCTGTGAAAGGTATAGAATCCCCATTTCTTCTAAGGTTTTATGGTATAGTCTTTAATATTCAGGTCACATATCCATTTAGAACTAATTGGGGAATATGGTATAAGACATTGGTCTAAGTCTAATTTCTACAAGATTGCTTTCTATTTTTCCCAGAAGTTCTTATTAAAAGGGGAGCACTTTCTTGGGTAATTTATGTTTTGGTGTTTATCAAACACTGAATTCCGAAGTTCAATTATTTCTATTTCTTTATTTAGTCTATTCCATTGATCTCCTTCTCTATTTTTAAATATCAAATGGCTTTGATTTTTGCTGCATTATAATATAGTTGGAAGTATGGAGGTGCTCCATTCCTAGCTTTTTTCTGTTATTTTCCTTGATATTCTAATTCTTTCACTTCTCTAAATGAATTTGCAATTTATTTGCCTAGATCTGTAAAATACCCCTTTGGTAGATTGACATATAACTAAATATGTAAATTAACATTGATATTGTTGTCATTTTTATTATATTGGAGGAGTACAGCCATGAGCACTGAGTATTCCCCCAGCTATTTGTTAGTCTTTATTTCTTCAAGGATCATCTTATAATTCAATCTATACAAGCATTGAGTGGGCTTTGGTATATTAATTCTAAAATATTTTATGCAATTTATCATTATTCTGAACGGCTCTTTTCTAATTGTCTCTTGGATTTTGTTATTATTATGTAGAAATGCTGTTAACTTTGTGAGTTTGTTTTGTAGTCTGCAACTCTGCTGAAAATATTGTTTCAATTGGTTTCTTTGCTTGTTTCCTAGGATTTTCTGATTAAATCAGTATTTCATCAGCTAATAGGGATAGTTTTTATCTCCTCTTTGGCTCTCATTATGCCTTTAATTCCTGTCTCTTTTTGCTATTGTTAGATTTCTAGAGCTATATCAAATAATAGCAGGAAAAGGGAGTAGGCTTGTTTTACTACTATATTTATTGGGAAAATTTCAAATGTTTCCCTATTACATATAATGCTTACTTCTCATTTTAAGATAGATGCTTGTTATCATATTAAGAGAAGATTCATCTATGCCCCTTCTTTGTAGAGTTTTTAGCAAAAATGTCAAGAGCCTTTTTCCCGTAACTGTTGAGATAATTGCATGGTTTGGGGGATATTTTTGTTTTTAGTATAATTGTGTCAATTATCTTCCTAATGTAGAACCATCCTTTCAACCCCAGTATAAATCCAACTTGGATACTATACACAATCTTTTGGAATAATTGCTATGATCTTTTATGCCAAGATTTTATTTAATATTTCTGAATCAATTGATTCATTCATTATAGTGTTCGATAGTTTTCTTTCTTTGCTTTACATTTCCCTGAGTAATCAGGAGAATCAGACCTATGTTTGGCTCATAGGAGAACTTAGAGTACTTTCTTTCTCAATTTTTGGAAATAATTTGTGTAGTATATATATTAAATCTTATTACTAATGCTATTTAGAGCTCTTGTTTCCTTTTGTGGTTGTTGTTGTTGTTTAGTTGTTTCAGTTGTGTCCAAGTCTTTGTGACTGCATTTAAGGTTTTCTTGGCAAAGATACTGGAGTGGTTTGCCATTTCCTTCCCTAGTTCATTTTACAGATGAGGAAACTGAGGCAAGCAGGATTCAGTGACTTTCCCAGGGTCACACAACTAGAGAGTGTCCGACCTATTTTGGATAACTTAAGGTTAAAAGTGTGAATCCTGTCCAATGAAATAAGAGAGACTTCCACTGAAGTTTTATTTTTCATTCAATTAAGGGCAAGAAGTTATATGATATAGCAGACAGGTGGAACGTTTTACAGTCAGGAAGACTTAGTTTCAAGTCTACCTTTAATATATAGAAATATTAAGTAAAATATTGACAAAAAGGCTACAGCAATTAATCCAAAAGCTCATTCGTTATATCCAAGTTGGATGTACACCAGGGATGGAAGGATTGTTCTACATAAGGAAGATAATTAACATAATATTAAGAACAAAAATATCCCCAAACCATACAATTATCTCAATAAATAGAGGAAAATGGCTCTTGACAGTAAATATTTTTGTTTAAAACCCTACAAATCATGGGCATAGAAGAATCTTGTCTTAATATGATAACGAGGATCTGTCTTAAACTGAGAAGTTTAATCTATGTCTGAAATAAAGACCTGGGTTCAAGTCTGCCATTGAGGATGACTTCAGTTGAGTCATTTAACCTCTTACTGCCTCAAGAAACTCTCTAAGACTATAAATTACATCCAAGTTGATGATATACGATTCTCTACATGGATGAAATCACGAGTTCAGATCAAAAGGCAAGGAGATCATTTGAAAACTTGTACTTTAATTTTGCAGCATAAGTCAATAGGAACTAGAATGAGCTTGTCAATATAAAATCATGATGTTAAGGGGATGTTACCAAAGAGATTGATGCCATAAAGGATTATAAAGAGTTATATATTTGAAAATAGTTTCACATGATAAATTCTAGACATGAATGATTAGATGTCACAATTTTCTCTTTATATTATAAACTTCTCTGAGAAAGAAACAAACCTTTATTCTTATTTTCTAAAGAAATAGTTCTCCTTGGGATACTTCACATAAAATAATTTATCTGTAGTGAGGCAGCATGAAATAGTCCTCCAAAGTCAAGAAAGCTGGGGTTCAAATACTACCTCAGACACAAACTTGCTATATGACTAACTCTGGGTTAGTCACATAAGTTACAAACCTCTCTCAGACTTGGTTTCATTAGTAAAATGAATGTAGAATTGATGACCTCTAAAGTACATTCTACCTCTAAATTTATGATCCAATAAATTACTCTCCCAGGATCTGCCTTACTGAAAAGCAAATACCATAAAACCTTGCTATTTTATTACAAAAAGGAAAATGCCACATGTTAGTAAAAAATCTGAAATATACATGTATAGGTACATATATAGGAAAAATGAAAAATATACTTCAATTCAATATATAGTTGTTCAGTCGTGTCTGATTATTTGTGTCCCTGTTTGGGGGTTTTCTTGGCAAAGATACTGGAGTGGTTTGACATTTCCTTCTCCAGCTCATTTTACAGATGAGGAAACTGAGGCAAACATGTTGAGTGACTTGGCCAGGGATACACAGCTAGTAAGTGTCTGAGGTCATACTTGAACTCAGGAAGATGAGGTCTTCCTGCCTCCCAGTCTGGCACTTTCTCCACTGCACCACCAAGCTCCCCGATATAGTAATTAAAAACTACTGAAGCATTACCAAGTAGAGGTACTATTTGATATGCTTTAATGAAAGATGAAATTCATTTAAAACTGACACAAGTGTATGCAAATGTTATGCTGTTGTGAATTTAAGATGTTCTGAAAAGTTTATTTTCTCAAATATATAAACTGCACCCCCTTCAATTTTGTTTCCAGCATGAATCTACATGGCAAACCCAGTCTTTCATACTTAGACCCTATATGTAAATTATCACAAATTTCAAATTAGTGGATTCTGAATTAGCTATAACACTATATTGCCTCATTAGACTAAACTATGTGGAAACAATATGCAGAAACAAGGAGAAACTCCATTCTCTCCTGTAAGTAACAGGAGAGAAAAGGTAAGGGGACAGCTTTCGATAGTGCTTAAATATGAAATTTATGTTTTTTTCAAATATCTTTATTACTTGAATTCTTCCATAACCAAAAAGTGGCTTGCTCTAATAAGAATTCAATATCCTCATACTGTGCAGATTTCATAACATAGGTCTTTTTTCCATCCCCAGGGGCTGATCTGAAACAAAACAAGAGAAGTTGTTCCTTCTGTTGAAGAGACATACCAAACCCAGACCTGCTGTAAGTCAAAAACAAGTTCATCGGTCTGCGATTCTTCTCTCTTCCAGAGTCTAAATGTAAGTGTACAATATCTAGACCAGGGTTCAGCAGGAGGTTGATGAAGGGGGGAACACGTGCCCATGTGTATGGGACAGCTCACAGATGCTACCACTGCTCTTCCATCCTTTATTTCTCTTTGTTTCATCCATTCTGACTACCCCTTGGGCACCAGTGGTGTTGCAATGGGAGTTCTAAACAAAGTCTCACTTCTGCTGACCTCCATGTAACCTGTTCACCTATTCCAGGTTCCCATTTCCCTCCCTCATCTAATGCAAGATGCGAGAACATTGCTGGTGCCTGGTTCAGGAGTTCCAAATAGCAAGATACATGCACTACACAGGATCTAAACTGATTTTTAAACCCAGGCATGCTAAATAGAGTCTTAAACATAATCAGTTCCATAGGAGCTGCTGAGGTACCCAAGTGTTTGCCATATGTGGATAACTTGATTTTACTGAGAGGTTTCTTTAGCATGAGCTTCTTTCATGATTAATCATAGGGTTTCCAAGTAATAAAAGATCAGTAGATTTTAAAAATAAATAATTCCCATACAAATAGAAAAATTAATATTATCATGTATCTTCTAATATTTTCCATACATACTTTTCCATCATTGTCATATGAACCAAGATTTTTCTTCTGGTGATATTTCTGTTTGTAAGTTATGGATTTTTAATGAAGAAATGATTCTTTTCCTAAGGAAGAACTAATGTTTTTGAAATATTACATCATTCAATAAATCTGGTATCATATATACATGGTATTGAAAATATCCACAGTTAAAAAAATGCATACCAGTACCCCTTTTATTCCTTGATCAATCTCTAAATAGAAGCAATAAAAATGTAAAGTACATAATTAACTTTTGAACTTTGATGGAAAAAGATTATACCCTCCATTTCTGACAAGTAGACATTATCTCATAGTATCCATAGTCATCTTATACTTATGACTATTGTCTGGTCTCAAGTGTGACTTTTGGAAGCACTCATTATTTCTTAATATGCAATAAAACAATGGCTTCTTACATTTTCTTAATTTTATTTGGTAATGAAAAGCATGAGCTTCACTTCTGAAGAATGGATAACTGAGATTCTGGGGCATTTAGGATGGTGAGGGATGTGTCTATAGATTAAAAAAAATACAGTATATAGCTAGCCATTTAGTTATTGCTATATCTCCATGGCATAAAGAAATGAAAAACACAAAATATACCCTCAATAAAATGCAAAAAAAGAAGAAAGGAAGTAAGGAAAGAAAGAAGGAAGGAAAGAAGGGAAAGAAAGGGTTCTCTGAAATTATTTTCTTAAGGGCATTTCAATTCACACTATTAAAAATTACATGCACTGATTATTTATGGAGAAAGTTTATCAAAGAACTAAATGAAAGCATTTAGAAATGATTATCATCCCCCTAAGTATATTTGAATAGAAAGCTGTCTGTCTTCTTCATAGTGGGGGTTTGCAAAACACTTGGTGAAGGAGGCAAGATGAGAATTATATTCACAATCTCAGACCGTCTCTGAACTTAATCCAAAGGAACATAATTGCTGAAACTAAAGGCAGGCTCAGCTTCTGGATTTCCTGTAACCAAATCTTACTGCCAAGGGCACCAATGGGTTCATGCAGTTAAAAAAAACTACAACAATAATGCCAACTAAAATAGTGAAAACCTAGAAGGTGACAGGAGAGGAGAGGAAAGAGGCGAGGAAAGGAGAGGAGGCTTGTGAAGTTGCAACAGGGATAGAAAAAACTCCATCTTATACTTTTTTATAAAACATATCCTTTGTTATGAAGAGTCCCAGGGTATAAGGGCAATAAAAATCACAGGATATCTAATAAATGATTTAAACAATGAGCAACAGCAATACTAACAAACCAAAATAAACATAATGTTCAAAATAGTTATCAAGTCAGTCAGGCTTAGGAATTGGACATGACAATTTTCTAATAAAAATAACCAGCTGAAAGTCATTCTTAGGCGTAGAAATTTTGATTGAAAAAAGAAATAAAGAACTTTTTGAATGTGTATATGGGTTGCATGGGGGAGATGGGCTTGGCTTGTTACACAATTCCATATAGTGTTAAACTCATTCAGTGTTCAAATATGGGAATGTTTCGCAGTAATTTCAGTACCATTTAAAAATAATTTTGATTAAAAGTTTAAAAAAAAACTACAAATGTCAAGACCAGGATATCGTAATAGGAAAAGCCTCAAACAACATATGAACTAAGAAATGGAAATGTATTGTATTGTAGTCATTGATTCTCTATGGAGATGTGCACATCTGTATTACAAATGTATAGACAGATTTCCCCCCTTGGAATATTCGGGAAGCACCATCCTGAAGTCCTCTTTACCCCATGAAAAATTAATTGAATTCCTGAATCATAATCTATAGAAAGTATCATGGATAGATCTATATTTTTCATGAGCTTAAAAGCATATAAACAAGTTTGTTTGTTTTTTAAATAACCTCCAAAACAACCATCCCTTTGCCTATTTCCACTTTCTGCTAAGTGGAATGTCTCTCTTGGATTCACAATAAAGAGGTAGCACCTTGCACCTGGAGATTAATGAACTATATCTGTGACCAAAAATATCCATGGAAAACCTGCTGAATTGATCTATATCTGTTTTTATTAATCAGGCACACTATAGAAGGACCTTTTTTGTGGTTGTACTGTATGTTGGAGATAAACAGACTGGGAAAACCACAATGCATTTTGGAAGCCATTTGGAGCTTTGAAGAATGTGGGTTTTTTTCTACTAAATGACAGCAATAAAGTACAACATTTGACAGCTGTAGCCTGGGATGTGTAAACTCACTTTCTGCTGAGCTTCACTACTGCAGATGACAGCAGTGCTAAACACAATGACCCCAAAGATCGATTAACATTAAGAGTTATCATTTTACCAAATAAAGATAGGATGGGGGAGAGGGAAGGATTTTGTTTACTAGCTGGGGGGTTGAGAAGGATGGATAATTTTGATTTACCAAAGGACTTTTTTTTAAACCTAGCCTAGAGTGTACAGTCTAGTGAAGCATATGGCTGGAAGTCAAATGTCCCAGATTCTGTTCTTGTCTCTCCTAACAATAAGGCATGTGGCTTTGGGCGACTCGTGATGATTGTTACATCTACAGTCAAAGTGGCAGACAAGGAATGATTGAGAGATTTGCTTGTTCCAAGCCCAAAGCCCTGAATCTGAATGGCCCCAGTGTGAAGCAAAAGACATACATATTAGCCTCAGACTCTTGTATGCCCATCTAAAAATGTTCAAGAGGAGGGTTTCAGTAATGATAGAATGGAAAGAATGCCATATTGGGGTGTTTAAGTCATGGGTCTTCTATCTAATACTCGTGTGTGAGATTTAACCTCTCCAGGACTTGGTTTCCTCGTCTGTAAAATTGGTGGGGGGTAGAAAAGAGGGGGTTCTGGGACTAGATTGCCCCTAGGGCCCCTTCTAACTCTAAATCTACCATCCTATGATCCTGAAATTATTTTACGATGAATTCCTTACCTGCTACTTTCCTAAGAAAGTGACTTAGAGGAAATATTTTATAGGAAAAAATACTATTAATTACTATTCTTCATGTACACATGTTACTCCCGACTTCAAAATATTATTGATTAGTAGTTATTAATGAACAAGCCATTAAATAGATATAGTGAATCTAAAATAATTATTTTCAGTATTAATTTACTAAAGCACAAAGTAAATTATATTGTAACAACAAATTTTAAAAAGTTATTACATTAGCAAATTTGTAAATATCCCCCAACAGTAACACAGGGTAGGTACTATGAAAGACCTACAGGAGAGGTCAATGTACTACTTAGAGCACTAGTCCAAGCCAATGCAAATTTCAGCGACTCTTCTGGAACATGATGTACTATTATAGTAAATGTTTATCTCACTTCATATAAAAAACAGAATTATAAACGAGAAAAATGGAGGGCTTAATTGCTTTGCAAAAGAATTTTTACTTTACAAAATATTATTCAGAATAAAATTCCTTTAAACAATGAGCTACTCAATAACATATGAGGATTGATTTATAAAAATGTGATTGTTATACATACTTTCAGGAACACATCTACTGTCTGAGTGAAGAATGCCTATAGTATACAATGTTGCACGTATTTTCTAATATGTCACTACCTGGGGCCTAGTTGGCAGAAGAATGGACCAGATGGGGATGGCCAGGAACCAGACACTAGACAGACCCACTGGGGCAAGGCAGGTGATCCAGAAAGGTGATCCAGGAAGGTACTAGCAGCAGGCAATAGGAGGAAGTCTAGACAGGAGGGTGGAGTGTCAAGGGAGTCTGGCAAAAGGCAATAGGCAGAGGTCCAAAGAGGCAGATGCTTGGCCTCAAGGAGGTCTGGCAGCAGGTAGCCAGGACCCAGCCATGGGGACTAGGGTTCAAGGGAAGAACTCCAGGCTGTAGGAGAACTGGTGAAAACAATAAACCAGGTACTCAAACTTACAGAAGCAGGACAGGAGACTAGTTACTAGAACTAGGAAGAACAAGCTAGACCAACTAGAAACCTGATGGTGCTGAGCCATCTATGGGTCCACATGTCCTTCTATTTCCCCTGCCTGGGGAACTGGAGTTATCCCAGAGTCTGTTTGCTGTGCAAGGAGGGGATTAAGTGGCTCCAGCTGTGGAGATTGTAAGGCTGGAAGCTTGGGGAAAGGGAGCCAGATGGATCATTATTGGACACTTCCCTCTAGAAATCCCAGGATAACTAAAACCCCTCTGAAGAGAATCTAGACAGAAATCAAAGTGACACCAAAGCTTGTGACATGTAGCAAACTAAAAGATGATTGCAGTTTCCTATAACACAAATATGTTATAGGAAAATAATGCTGTTTGGGGATCAAACCCAGACTTGGATCCCACATCAGACCAGGGAGAAGAACATATGTCACCAGGGATCCAAAGCAAGGAAGCCAAAATGCAACCTGTCCTGAGTTACATTTAAAGCTTGCACTCCTGGTAACTAACGAA